TTTTTTTTTTTAAGAAAATGGGTGTTCTCTTTCTCTGTCGCACGGTGAAGTGCCCCAGTGTGTGTCGCAGATGTGTAGCTTAATGCCTGTGAGATGTGTAACACGGTGTGTGCATTCAGAGCACCTGTGGTGCACATGTGTCGCGCACAGACCTGGTGGCACATACATACAGAAGCCCCTGAGTGGTGACCGCCAGGCTTTAACAAGGGTTCACTGCGGTTTCTTTGCTTTGTAGCTAAAATAGCAGAGACTCTCCCGGTCTTCCGTCTGCCCCCACCTCTCTCTCCTCCCTCCTGGGGAGCCTCTCCCAAGCATTGCGGGGCCTCCTGTCTGCATTTTGGCCCCTGACGCCTATCTACAAACGCTCCGGGACCACGGTCCTTTGGGTACCTGCTCCTGACATCAACTCTGTTTTCCTACTTTCTTTTGGGGGGGAACATATGTTTTGTGTACTACTGAGGCCTGGTTTATGTCACGTTGTATCTTTTCTGCTCAGTGGTTTCTTGCTGTGAACATCATTTACATTTGTAATTTTGAAGCTTGGAATCATTTCCTAAAGGCAGAAGATGATCATGATACTAGCGCATTTAGAAAATTGCTATCTTTTCTAGAAAATAAGTTTTGTCTGGTTAGGAAAGCGATGCATCACTTGGGGATTGGCCAGGACTAATCCTCCACCTGGCAGGTGGTCATTTCCAGTGCTCTCCCCTTCCGAATAAACAGGTGAGCACCCTTGGAAAGGGACCTTTGCACAGGATGGACACTCAGCGGGCAGGTGCGGGACCAGGGTGGGAACCTGGTCTAAGGCCCTGGGTGTACACGCTGTCTGCTTAGGGCCTAGAGGTGCTTGTGCTTGACCCCCTTTTCTCTCTCCCTGGATTTGTGTGAGCTGCTCTGTGTCTGTTGTCCATTGTTACTTTTTAATGCGGGTTTACTGACTCGTTTCATGACAGACTTAAGCGTTTGTTAGGTTTTTCCTAGATACCCTTTCAGTTTGTCATTTTTTAAGTTTTATTTAGGTAATCTCTACTCCCAATGTGGGGCTCGAACTCATGACCCCAAGATCAAACATGCTTTTCCGACCCTGCCAGTCAGGCACCTCCCCTCCCCCGTCATTTACTTTTTAATTAAAAAAAAATGGGTAAGTCATGTGCACACCTACATTAGGATCCAGCCACTTGAGCTCTGAGTATTTACCCAAGAGAAACGGGGGGCGCGTGTCCACACCGGTACGCACACGAATGTTCAGAACAGTCTCGATTTGCCAAAGCTGTCAACGGCCCAGGCGTACAGCCGCAGGCAAGGAGGGAGCAGGCCGGGGCCTGTCCACGTAGCCTCAGAAAGCACGTTGGTGTCTGTCAGAGAGGCAGAATGTAAAAGACACAGCAGAACCTCCAGGGGTGAGGGGTATGTTTGCGACCTCGCTTGTGGGGCAGCGTCTCAGGACATATGTGGGTCAAAACTCACCGCCATGCACTTTAAGTTGCCACAGTTCACACAGACGAAGCCCCAGAAACAACTGTGTGCTGAGAAGGCAACGTGTTCGTGATAGAGAAACACACACATCCCGAGAGAAACGAAAAGGAAGCCCCGTAACACTAACACCTGACAGTTTCTGTGCAGCCTTCCAGACACCCACGTCCACCACCACCCTGCCCTGGCAGCCGCCGATCTGCGTGCTAGAAACGTGGAGAACCGCGCCGTGCACGTGCACGGGCCTTACACGCTGTTCCGCATCGTGTGCCAGAGCTCTTTGCCGCCTCGTGCTTCACGCTGGACAGACGCAGGCGTCCGGGGTCCACAGCCCGTAGCTGCAGGCCGTTTCTGTTGATTCTGGTTCTCTTTCCTCTGAGTAAAGTTGTGCCAGTTTTCTTCCGTAGACCTGGCCCGTTTTTTGCCGCTTCCGTGGTGTTTTACGTGAGCAGAACTTTCTGAACGATTTCTGCGGTGTTGCACATGTGACCTGAGTGCATCAGAGCCCCCCCAAGCCACACACGCGGCCCCAGGGTGACCCGTGCGCATGTAGGGCAGCCCCTTCCCCCGTTTGTTTGTCCCCCGTTGTCGTCCCAGGAGAGCTGTCCCCCGATGCCGGGCGGGGTCACAGCCTTGGGTCTGTGGAAGTGAGGAGGTGCTGAGCGGGGTGTCTGCCACGAGTGATGCCGGGTGCTCTGCAGGCCTCCCGGTGCTGCTGCGCGGGACCCTCATGGGGTCTCGGGGCGAGGACGCTCGGCTCAGCTCCGTGGCGGGGGGTCCTGCCCACATGGCCTGTTCTTCGCCCCAGTTTTTCCCAACACCTCCCACGTGGTGCCAAAATTAAAACCAGACCGTTTTTATCCCTGAAGACTCCCCGTGGGCTGGCTCACATGCGCCCACGTGAGCAAGGCTGTGACGGGAGCTTCTGCCCGCCTGTCCCCCCACCCCCGCCAAGTGTGTTCCCCGCACAACAGGGGCAGAGCCGGCTGACTTGGAGGCCCCCCCCCCCAAGTGGGGCGATGCTGCAGGGTGTCCGTCTGGGGTGTCATCTGTGCTGGGACGTGGGCTCTCGGTGTCCACCTGCCACAGCTCATGGGGGCGCCACGCCAAGTCCCCAGGAGAGCTGTCTGCTCTGTCCTGGGCGTGACCCATGGCGCCTGTCACCTCCTGGGCCCGCGTTCCCTCGTCCCCATTTCCCGCTGGCGTTGGCCCTCTTCATCTGCTCCGCCCCTGTCCGGCCGGCACGGGCAGCTGGAGATCTGGTCCAGCCCCGGTCCCGTCGCCCCTGGTGGCTGATGTCTGCCGGCTTGAACCGCAGTAGTGGCTTCACCCTCCCACGGGGTGCCGCCGGTCTCCATGATTCCTCTCTGGTGGCTCAAGGGGCCCTCCCCTGTGGCGTCTGTGCTCCTGCCTGCAGGGCCCTGAGGAGACAGAGCGGTGACCTGTGGGCCCGTGTCTCCCGCAGGAAGCAGGTCCTGGGGACCAAGGTGGACGCGGAGCGGGACGGCGTGAAGGTGCCCACCACGCTGGCTGAGTACTGTGTGAAGACCAAGGCGCCAGCGCCCGACGAGGGCTCAGACCTCTTCTACGACGACTACTACGAGGACGGCGAGCCCGAGGCTGAGGCCGACAGCTGCTTCGGGGACGACGAGGACGACTCCGGCAACGAGGAGTCCTGACAGGGCGACCCCAAGAATAAACGTACAGATTTTACCTCAGCAGCCCCGGACTGTGTGGCGAGACTGCCCCATGGGAGGGGTGCTGCCCGGCCCCCTGGGTGGTCTCCTCCCGGGCGTCGCCCTCCCTTCCCGCGCGTGTGTCCCGGGTCCCTTGCAGCCCGCCAGGTGGGGCGGGCCTGGGCGGCGGTGGCCTGAGGGACGCGGACCCGCCCGTGTGCGTGTTCAGCTCCTGCTGGCCGAGCCAGAGACTTGGGCCTGCGGCTCGCGCTGACAGATTCACTTGTGGTCACCTCTTCTCTCTGCTTTGGTTTGTTTGGAATCTAAATAAAACGACTTTATGAGAAGCTACAGAACCAACTGTCCTTGGCCTTCCCGAAGGACCGCAGAGAGCGGTGGGCCACCAGGTGCCCCTTCTGGGCCGGGTCACGGCCCCAGATTCTCGGGGCCAGCTGGTCTGCTGGTGGGGCCGGCCATCGGGCCCCAGGCGGCCCCTCTGTGGCCGCAGCACCCCCAAGGAGTCCTGTGTGCTGGTGTCACCCAGGCCCGGTGGCTTCATTTCAGTGTAACTGTAAAGTCCAGAGTGGCCTGGGCTCAGGGTCAGATGGCATCAGGACTGAGGTCCCCCCTTGGGTCAGACGAGCACGTGCCCAGCCTGACCAGTCACTGCGCCTGGGGCTCAGACGACCCCACACAGGTGGGGGACGGGCCAGAGGGGCAGGTACATCCAGGGTGCACACAGATCCCCACGGCGGCCTGCACACGCCTCTCCCGGTTCGCCCTCGCGGTCTGGTGGTGTTTTAACCTGAATGATGTTTCTCCATTAAAACGTGGAAGGTTTCACCCTTCATCTCTGGCTTTTCTTAAACCCGGAGGGAAGTGCAGGGCGGGGAGGGGCCCCTCTGGACTCAAGTGGTGTTCTCGGCGGGACTGTGGCGGCCACACCTGTTCCCGCTCCTCCTGCACCTAGTTTGGGCCTCTGAGCTCTGTGGTGTATCCCCAGCGACCCAGCCTCCGGAGTGGGAGCCTGGGCGTGTGACCCTCGCCCGTGTGCTGAGCAGGTGCAGGCAGGGCCAGGCCAGCGGCTCGTGTTTATAACCTCCACAGGGCGCCGAGGCCAGGCTGGGCACTCCCTTCACCTCAGCCTAGAGGAGTTTCCGGGGAGCGGTGTGGGGGGCTGGCAGCCTGCACGAGAAGACCTTGGTGGAGGTCTGGAAGCAGACGGCACGGTGGGGTGGCCCGTCCCTGCCCCACCCTGTCCGGGTGTCCTCACAGCGCGGCGGCACGGGCTCCGGCGGGAGGACCCCGGGAGCAAGGCCGCTTCAACACTCGGGGGTCACACGCACCACTTCTGCCCAGGGCTGGACACGGGCGTGCACCCACCCAGACCCGAGGGGAGGGGCGCAGACCCCACGTCTCCATGGGAATCGTGTTCCTTTCATACCGTCCCCCACACAACTGCCAAGGAAGCTTCTGCACAGAGATCTGACTGATACCTGAGGCCTTGGGGTTCACATCCCATAACCTATCTGCAAAACAGAGATCATAATTAGGGTTGCCCGGGGGCGCCTGGTGGCTCAGTTAGATGTCCCGACTTCAGCCCTGGCCACGATCTCACGGTTCATGAATTTGAACCCCACATTGGGCTCTGTGCTGACAGCTCAGAGCGTGCTGAGAATTCTCTCTCACTCTCTCTGCCGCTCTCTCACTGTCTCTCTTTCTGAAAAATAAACCTTAAAATAATTAGGGTTGCCCAGTTAAATATAAATTTCAGATAAATCATTCTTACTGTATATATGTGTATATATAATATGGTGGGTATATATCCTGTGCAGTGTTTGGGACATGTTTAGAAAGTATTTGTTGTTTATCTGAAATTCCAAGAACTCTCTATTTTTAGTTAATTCGATTTGACCGTCCAGATACTAATGGAGCCTACTTCCTGGGGGCGGTTACGGCTAAACTAGACAGGACATGTGAACACACGCTATAAATGCTGATTTTTCTTGAACTCATCCCTGGCCTGACACACCCGACTGGGTGAGGACAGGATGCCACCAGATGGGCGGTAATGGTTTCCAGAGTCTCTGCACCTGGGTGAATTCATCTGCCTGTTGTGATCAGTTGTTTTGGCCACCTCTCCTTTATAATGACCCCTTCGGTAGCAGGACAAAATGCCCAACTCAAACTGACTTAAACAGAAAGGAATTTAATTGGCTTCTGTGAGTGACAAGGCCAGGGATTTCAGGCATAGCCTGATCAAGGCACTGGTTCTGTGCAGTCTCTCCCCAGACCTGTGGTCACCAGAATAACAGCTCCAGAGATGTCCGTGCCCTGATCCCGTAACCTGAGAGCCAGAGAGCTCTCTGAGAGCCCAAGCAGGCAGGGGTGCAGGTTTCCCCTGGAGCCTTCACGGGAGCCAGCACTGCCCACACCCGGACGTTAGCCCCGTGAGGCCCGTTTCCTACTTCTGGCCCCATAGCTGTTAAAGAATAAGCTTGTGTGGCTTCAGGCCCTGAATGTGTGGTAATCCGTTAATCCGATAGAGCTGCAAGAAGAAACCGTCACTTGCCAGGCTCAGCTTCCACTGAGTGGCCCTCGTTCTCAGGTGTGCTCCTGTCACCTTGGGCCCACCCAGGCTGACAGGCTAATCACGGCAAGTCCAGAGGGTGAGAGCTGCTTTGGAGAATCCCCACGGAAGAGGTTCCAGACCACGGTCTTCATCGAGCTGACTTCCTGGGCACCACGGGAGCCCGTAGCCCCTCTGCTGGCCTTGGGGGCCTGTGTGCAGGTGAGTGGGAGCCAGAGCAAGATGGGGACGGCCCCTGACTGTCAACTTGGACCTCTCAGGAAACGGGGACTTGGGGCCACTGCTAGGCTAGTAACATCAGGTGTCTGGGGCCTCAGAGCTGAGGTAGCAACGTCACAGGAGGGGGTGGGGCCCCTGCCCCTAACCTGGCTCTCTCCCCAGGGGCAACACCCTTGAGATTCACATCACCACAGGGTCTGCCCCCGACTCCTCGCCCATACTGGTCTCGCTGCAGAAAGCTAGAGCCCGCCTGTGCAGAGCTGGGGGGCAGTCCTCATGCGCTCAGGACTGTGCCTCCCACCTAGCCACAGGGGCAGAGCTGACCCACGGGGGTGGCAAAGTCCACACCAGAGGAACCCGGGGCCTGCATGCCATGGTGAAGCCCCCAGATAAACCCACCCTGGAGCCAGCACCAAAGACCCCAGACTACACTGGTTCGGGTAACCAAAAGGCCCCTGTTGCCTCCTGTAATGCAGAGTCTGGGAGGACACAAGCGTCAGGCACAGCTGGATCCCAGTGCTCACAAGAGGTCCTCACGAACCTGCCGCCTCTCAGCCGTGGGATCATGAAGGCTTTCTCTCCTGGCGGCAAGGACGGCTGCCCCTCGGGTCCCATGGAAAGCGCTGGTTTCTAGTGCCGCTGGACCCAGCCTAGGTTTCATGCTGGCCTCTGGACAAATCACTGGTTGAGGCAGAGCCCACGCACGGGGCAAGGCCGGAGCCCCCGCCGAGGGGAACCCAGCCAGGGGCTTGGCGTTTTTGGACACACGCCTTCTGGAGTTCGGGGCAGCGGTGGGAACGGGGGAAGACTGGCCAGACAGGAGCCAGGAGGGGGCTGCAGGCTGTGGGGCGTCCCCAGGACACAACAGCAGCCTTATGCGCAGCATCAGGGCCACGGCCCAGCACCCAGAGTACAACTGGCCTCCAGTATGGAGAATACCTTCAAGATGTTCAAGGTGCTGGGGGCAGGTTGGAGGGGTAACAGCTTGCATCCCAGGACCCCCTCCCCCAGCTTTCCCATCCTCCACTGCTCTCCTCCCCCCATCCCCACTCACCTACCCCTTCCTGTCACCTGTAGCAGGACCAGAGGCTCCTGGCCTTGGCCCAGTGCCCACGGGAGCCCAGTGCAACATGGCAGGCTGGGCGCTGACCCTCCGGGGTGGGCCCCCACCAGGGCGCTTCGGGGCCGGGCCTGCAAATGCTGAACATCCAGAGTGTGTAATTCAGTGGGTGTTCGTACATTCACCGGGTTGTGTGACCAGCATCTCTGGAACATTCCATCTCCCCGGAAAGCAACTCTGTCCCCACACAGTCACGCCCCACCGCCCAGCCCCTCCCCCACGAACCCCCTTCCGTCCGTGGATGAGCCTGTTCTGGACGTTTCGCACACATGGACTCACACCCCCGTGTGGCGCCTCGCGTCTGGTTCCCTCCCTGAGCGTCGTGTGTTCAGGGTCTGTCCGCGGGGCGGCGGGGGTGGGCGCCTGGCTCCTGCTCGCAGCCGAGGGGCATGAACCTTTCGCAGTGGACGTCCACCTTTTGTGTGTGTCCGTCCACCTGCCGATGGACACTGGGGCTGTTTCATTGGCTGCTGTGAACTGCCTTGAAGCACTTGTCTGCCCACACGCGCCCGTTAGGACCGAGGTCCCCACTGGTTTTGCAGGAAGCTATGGTTTTTATTGTTCTTCAACAGACATCCTCAGGTGAGACTGCATTTAGAGGTGTGCTCCCAGGCACCAAGCAGCTTCCTCTTCCTTCGCGCCGAGGCCTCGAGCCTCGTCAGGGGTCTGGCATGGCTCCATCTGGCTGCAGATTAGGGGAGGCCCGCCTGCTGCTGTCCCGGGAGAAGGCTTATCTCCCCGCCTGGCTGTTCCTTCCTGGCCCAGCAGGGCTCCTCCCCCCGCCCCCCTCCCCCCCAACTGACCCCCAGGTGAACGGGAGGCCACCAACAGGAATAAGCAAGTGCCCCACCCTGCCTGCCTGGGGACTCAGCACCCGCCCAAGGTGGTCTCTGATGCTTTGATGACAGTGTGATCTGGGGCATCAAAGCCACACAGCAGGAACTCAGAACAATGGGACTCTATCTTCCCACATTCTGGGGCCAAAAGTCAGAGATCGAGGTGGGCTGGGCTCCCCGCCTCCACAGGCTCCAGCGGGGAGGGTCCTTCCTGCCTCCTCCAGCTCCTGGAGGCCCCGGGTCTCACTTGCTTGTGGCTGTGTCAATCCCGAGTCTGCCCCCATGATCACATGGCCCCTGCTCTGGGTCTGTGCCAGAATAACCCTTTCGTCCGGATGTCAGCCATAGGATAGAGCCTGCCCTGTCCGCTGCTGGCCCTCTTCTCAGGCCCCTCTCCCCTGGGCGGCTCTGATGTCTCCCTAGAACACAACAGAGGACGGACCGCCCTGGCTCAAACCCCTCCCAGGGCTCCCTAACACCAGAATAAAACCTGCCCTGTCCTCCTTCAGTCACTGCCTGGAGGGGGTGGATTTCAAAGCTCCCCCTTTCAGAAAAATGCACATAAAAAACTAAGCTGAAACATTTTAGCAGTGGACAGATGGGTAACAGAATGAAAGTCTGATGTCATCTCCTCATCTATGAGTTTGAGGGTTGTTTTTTGTTTTGTTTTGTTTTGTTTTTTACGCTTATGTAAGTGACCTCTAAGCCCAAAGTGGGGCTTGAACTCACAACCCTAAGGTGAAGAGCTGCAAACACCTCTGACTGAGCTGGCTGGGCGCCCCTGAGAGGTTTTGGAAGAAAAAGCAGAAGGCAAATGAACCAGAGCAGACGCCGTGTCCTGTGATGGGGCAGGGGTGGCATGCTGGGGCTGAGGTCCTGAAGACACGCTGCCCAGGACAGTCTGGTGGTCACTGGGGTGCAGGGAGGGAGCCAGCGGCACCACACGGCAGGACTCCGAGGCAGGACACGGGCCAGTGAGGCCTGAGGGGTCGGCAGGGGCAAGGTTTGCGGGTCTCCAGAGATGCTGCATCAGAGGACGGGCTCCTTGCCTGCTTCGCACCCCCAGCCCGGCTGCTGCACAGAGCAAAGCTGCAGAAACAGGCCAGAGAGCTGGGCTGCTTCCTTGCCTTTCTGTCTGAGGAAGATGTCCAGATCCGGAATCTGGGACCGTCCCAGTGAGGGTGCAGGCCTAGAGGCCAGGGGTGGGGGCGCGGAGTGAGGAGGGTACCCTGTGTCCCTCCTCTCACACACAGGTGGGTTGGACACGAGGTCACAGAAGGGACCAGTGCAAATGAGGGAAATGACAGCGGGTGATGAAGCTGGGCTGCTTTTGAGCCGATCAGATATAGAACAGATACATTTTAGCATAAGTCTATCCCAGATACTGCATGGGATAGACTAACACTTTTAAAATCACTCTTTTTTTTTTTTTTTTTTTTTTTTTTAATCTGAAATTCAAATGTACCTGGGTGTCCTGCCTTTCTATTTGCTAAATCTGACAATGGAGTGGCCCTAGAAGGCTTCTCCTGCCCCAGGTGGGGCCAGGACTGAGCAGCAAAGGGATCCATCTGACCAGTGGGAGGAGACAGGGAAGACTTTCCAGAGAGGGAACCAGAAAACTGGGCCTTGGAGAGGACACAGCTTGGTTTTATAAACAAAAGCAAAGACTGCCTGGTGGCCCTAATATTTCCCACGAGATCTGTCCTCAGCCCAGCCCAGGGAGGGCAGGAAAGGGGGCCGTGGAATTCTATCCAGGCCAGAGGGACTTTGAAGCCAGCTGGCTGCTTTCCGCCTCATTCCGCACGTAGCCCTTGAGCCCCGACACTGCCTCCTCCCCACTCCCTACCGGCTGTTCTCAGACTTGCAGCTCACCTCCCGCGGCTGCTGCCTCTCTGAACAGCACAGCCTTCAAGAAGCGGCTCCAATCTAGAGCAGCCCTCCCTTTACCCACAAGGGGCAGAAAAGTTTCCCTGCTTCCCTTTCAGGTGCTTTGGCTGCTCCAATGATTAATGGATGTAAAACAGATGAGCAGGAGAGAAACAAGCAGAAGTTTAGTAACACATGTACTGAATGGGAGACAGTCGCGAAAACCGAGTAACACTCAGAAGTACGGAAGCCATCACCTTCAGAGAAAGCCAAAGATGACGCTGGGGGTGGGGAGCGTGTTATGGGAGGTGACCCGGAGCCGCACAGTAGACGGGGGCAAGGCTGCAGCACATTCAACTCCTCGCCTCCCCTCCTTACAGGTTTCTGAAGGGACACACCCTTACACAGGGACTTTGCCTTGTGAATGTAAATGTTTCTTGCAAAAGGGTAACTGCTGCTGGACTTTTCAGAGCATCTCAGGTATCTGCGGCTCTTAAATATCCAGTTGAAAACAATCAGGATGCACAGGAGGGACGCGGTGCCTCACCTGGCTGTGACCGGCACTCCCTGATGGCTCACGATGGCCGGCGTCTCCTCATGGGCTCGTTGTCCATTTGTAGGTCTTCTTTGGAGAAGCGTTGCATTCAGACCCTTCATCCATTTTTTTTTGATACTGATTTTTGAGAGAGAGAGAGAGACAGACAGAGTGTAAGCAGGGGAGGGGCAGAGAGAGGGGGGACAGAGGGTCTGAAGCAGACTCAGTGCTGATAGCATCAAGCCCAACGCAGGGCTCAAACCCATGAACCACGAGATCGTGACCTGAGCCTAAGTCAGATGCTCAACCACCTGAGCCACCCAGGCTCAGCACACCTGAGCACACCCCTATTTGTACTTGTTTTAAATTGAATTGTAAGTGTTCTTTATATTGGATGTGAGTCTCTTATCAGATCTATGATTTCCCAGTGTTTTCTCCCATACTGTGGGTTGATCTTTCACTTCCTTCTTGGTGTTCTTTGAAACACAAAGTTTTTAATTTTGATGAAATCCTATTTATCTATTTTCTTATTGTTGCTCAGGCGTTTCGTGTCACAAGTAAGAAACTACTGCCTAACCCAAGATCATGAACGATAGAGTACCTGTTTTGTTTTGTTTTGTTTTTTGAAATTATTTTGTCATTTAACAAGGTATTTGCTGTGGGGGCGCCCGGCTGGCTCAGTCAGAAGAGCATAGGGTCATGAGCTCAAGCCCCGTGTTAGGCGTGGAGATTACTTAAAAATAAAATCTTAAAAAAATAGGGGCACCTGGGTGGCTCAGTCTCAGTTAAGCCCCCGACTCTTGGTTTTGGCTCAGGTCATGATTTGTGAGTTCAAGCCCCACACCGGGCTCTGCACTGACAGCTCAGAGCCTGCTTGGGATTCTCTCTCTCCCTCTCTCTGCCCCTCCTCTGCTAGTGCTCTCTCTCTCTCGCTCTCTCACTCTCAAAATAAGTAAATGAATTTAAAAAGTTTTTAATAAATAATCTTAAAAAATTA